ACTCATAAATGTAAAGGTTTTAAAGCAAAAATCACACATTCACTATAAACCACAACTCAAACAAGCACATATCCTCAATCATGAGCATAACAACCATAGCAACACTTTACAAAAATAATGAAAACTCTAATACTTGAAAGCATACGTAAGGCGTAGAATTTACCACCTTTACACTCACCTGACTATATAGTTAAAATCCATCGGCTTCATGAACTTGGTATTCCAAAAGGTGTCATGGAACAACTTAGCATTTAATTGACGTTGCTCCCCCATCAACTCCATTCGTCTCAGTCGTCAAAAATCAACCACAACAAATTGCCCAAGCCATGTTAAAGCACCTCCCACATATTTACATATTCACTTAACCATTTAACTTGTTATTCCTCTACGAACTAACTAAATGCTGGTACTGTAGATAACTTACCCAAAACTATTCGCCTTCAATTTCCGATTCCCCGTACTGCATCTCCAGAGATGGCCGCCGCTACTTCCCAGGTGTGGTTGCCGGTAACAATTGTGATTTCTAGATGGAATATATAGAGAGGGGACACGTTTTTTATTTGGCTCTGCTCGTATCCAAATTGATCCTCTCCCACTGTCCGCTCACCCAATCGACTCCTTGTTTCGCCCCTCCTGCTTTGCTTAAGCAGGCAGCTGTCATGGTAGAGGGGAGAATGGCTGCTCACCCATCTCGACCGCCCTGATCCGGTACTGAATCGCCTCCTTTTCCCGCCTCATTCTTGCTTAAGCAGGCAGCTGTCATAGTAGAGGGGAGAACAACAGTATTAGCCGCTCACCCATCTCGCTCGGCGGCTGCTTTACGGAAGGAAAGGCCGAGACTGCTTTGTGGAAACAAAAGCCCAGGTGCGGATCATCTCTTCCGCTTCTATCTTCGCCTGCGCGCCCTTCCGCTTCCACCTTCGCCTGCGCGCTGCTGTTGCCCAGGCAAGTCTCGTGGTAGGTAGACTACATCCGCCAGAGTTTGCCCCCTCCCCCACTATCTCGACTTGCCCTCCTGCTTGCTTAATCAACTCGAGGTATACATTTACTTAGGTATACAGTTACTTAGAAGAGTTGATTAGGGTTGGGTTGGGTTGGGTTTTAATTAACTCGAGGGGTATTTTGGGCATTTCATAAATTACAGGTGAGTTTAATCCGAAACTCAACTAACGTATGTAACTTACTCGATTTATGTCGAAACTCGACACCGTTTGAACCGAGAGTTCGCATTTTTAGTCCTCATGGATATTACGATGGAATTTGACAAATTTCCCCAAGGGTATAATAGTCATTTTGACTTTTGGGAAGAGCGGGGTGTAACATTTCCTCTACCCTTATAAAAATTTCGTCCCCGAAATTTGATCGGCTCATCCTTCCATACTCCTCATCCTCGTGCTTCTTTGGCTCAAGATTTCACTCCTGCTATATGAAATTCAATGGCGTATCCTTACCTTGTCTTGAATAGCTTATTATAGTTCTTATATGTACTCTTGACCATAACAGGTATTCTCATATAGCTCAGCAGCATCGAATAGGTTTGAGTGACTCATTGCTCTTTTCAAAATTTTCCAACTTGAGCTGGTAGTGCGATTTCGATTCTCTTTGATACGTCTATCCAACTCAGTCAATACTTGTTGTTAAATCTAAATCGAAGTCGAGGTATGTAACATTCCGAACCCTTTTCCGAGCATGATATTGTCCGCTTTGGGCCTCGACCCTCACGGATTTCAACTTGGGGTGCGATTCAAAGTGACTTCTCATAAGGTCACACATCCTTGTTGTACTCCACACTGAGCAAGTTTAACTTCGGAGTTCTCACAAGAACTCCTCCATTACACCCCAAAATGCGTCTTGTCAGTTAAGGTCGGCTTCTTACTTATGAACCATGGATCTCTCCCGTGCTTTGTCGATGTGGGATTCGCCTAAGGTGTTACATACACCCCTCTTGGAACTCAACGCCCTCGTTGAGGTTTGCCCCACCATCGTTCAAGAGGGACGCGGAGAGGCTCTGATACCACTTGTAACATCCCGAACCTTTTTTCGAGCAAGATATTTTCCGCTTTGGGCCTCGACCCTCACGATTTTCGACTTGGGGTGCAATTCAAGTGCTTGTGGATAAGATCACTCAAAGGTTGCGTAGCTGGAGAAGTAAACTTCTCAGTTATGCAGGAAAATTCAGTTCATATCCTCTGTCATCTCTAGCACTTTGGAGTATTGGCTTAACCTTTTCCTTCTTCCGCAGTTTATTGTCAAGGAGGTAGAAAGATTATGCAATGCTTTCCTATGAAATTCAGTTGAGGAAGGGACTCGGAAGAAGGCAGTAATGGAATTGGAAAAACTGGCAGCCCCTAAACAATAGGGGGGCTTGGTATAAGAAGTTTTAGTCTATGGAACAAGGCATGTGTTTTTAGGCATGTTTGGGATGTGCCAACGCCAGGAGGCTCTTTGTGGGTTGCATGGGTTACACGGTATAGGCTGAAACAGAAGACCTTCTGGAAACTATCCCCTACCTCAGCAGGTACATGGATTTGGAAAAAGGTTATTTAAATGAGAGAGGTGCAACTCCTTATGTATCGGGGACTGCTCCTGATGTGTTGTGGAATGGTGAGAAGATGAAGAAATATTCAGTAACCAGAATCTGGGATACAATTCGTCTTAAGGCTCCAGAAGTTGCTTGGTGGAAGTTAATATGGAGCTCAAAAGTCATTCCTAGACATGGTGTGCTTGTTTGGTTAACATTGTGCAACAAGATTACCAAACAAGACAAGCATTTATCATGGGGCAAAACTGTCTCGAGTAAGTGTCTTTTATGTCCTAGGGGTGATGAAACCAGGGAACACCTACTAGTCACATGTTCTTACACTGTCTCTGTTATGAGGTTGTGTCTGAAAGGTTCTGCCCCGCCAACTGTGGGGGTCTGGGAAAACTACGTGGATAGGTGTGTGCAGAGATGGAACAATAAAAATCCTAGGATGCGTGTTTGTCGTTTGATTTGGAGTATAGTCATTAATCACATATGACGTGAAAGGTGCTGCAGGATGTATGGGAACAAGCAGATTTGTAGTCCTCTGCAGGTAGCCAAGAAGGTGGAAGAAGAAGTATCTTTTCGAGTTCAAACAGATGGTGCCCTCCAGCAAGAATTCGACCAGTTGCAATAACCCTTAGTGTTTATAGCTTTTTTTAGCTTATAGTTTGTTTACATAGTAAACATGGATTGATCCAATAAATGTTTAGCAGAGTTTGAGAGGCTGCTCTGTTTATTTGACTGAGTTAACTAGAGCTTAATGAAATTTTTTTGATTTCGCATAAAAAAAATAACACCAATTTAGGTGTTATCACTAACAACAGTAGGACACCCCGAACTATCAAGAAAGTGCCATTTGTGTCCCAAACTATTCAATTTGACATTTATGTCCCAAACTATTCAATGTGTCATTTATGTTCTGATGATTTTGTTGACCTTTATAGATAACAATGGACCAAACGGACGTCATAGATTTGATGACGTGGAAATAAAAGTTGCTGTCATGTAGATGCCACATCATTAAATATTATTTTTAATTATAAAATAACAAAAATAAAAAATTAGAAAGTAAAAAAACCCTAAGAAGATGCATCCCTCCGCCTCTGTTCTTCGATTCTGCTCCTAGTGGGAGGAGGACAAGCCTCGAGCTGATCTACGCCGGCAACTCTGACGATAGATTTTGCAAAGCTCACTTCTTCTCCATCCTATGATTCCCTCTTTATCACTTTGCATCAAAAGTTCCAAAAATCCTCGCCCCTATCCAAAACCTAAACCCAAATGCAATTAATCGAAAATCCTAGCACTCGAATAAGCAAAAAAATCAATCAAAGAACAATTGGATCCTCTCTTCGATTCACAGAGTGGCGGAGATGGCGTTGGAGTCTAGCGTACGATAGGGAGTGCGACCGAATATGATTGAAATTGTAGCGAGAGGAAATTAGGAATTTCGTATCGACGAAGTCGTGGAAGAACCACGATGACAATGATTGCGGGGTGATTTGGGTCAGAGATCTCGCTACACTAAAACAAGCAGTGACGATGACAGCTCCGCCAAAAATCGATTGGCCTAGCTCCGCTCTCATATCTTGCCTTGGGGTCGGAAAAGCCACAAAATCCCCCACCCAGATTGATCTCTCTTACTAGAATTGGCGGTAATGGAGGAAGAAGGGAAGAATGGTCGATTGTCGAGAGGGAGGGAGGGTGACGAGAGAGGGGACGTCGTGACGCAGTGGGAATCAGAATCGGTTCCGTAATTCTCCTCCTTGGAATCGTTTATCTCTGATCTTCTGATCTATAACTTGGCCCCTTGAGGATTTGAGTGGAAGATGGAGTTGAGGACGAGAGAAGACGAAGAAGTTGGGAGCGTGGGAGGAGATTGTTAAGAAACTCTAGTTATACCCCAGTGATGCTACACGAGTATAGAGGGAATCATCATCCATCTATACCTCAAGTAGTATTCATGCTTGATTGTTAGACCAACGTTGGTATAGACCATCGATTATGGGCCAAGAGTAAATAATCTTCTTTTATCCTCACTTCTCTGTTCTTCATTGTTTAGATGATGATATGAAGCGAAAGTACGAATTAGTTAGTCAAGTTCTTATTGCATGCGGCGAAAGCTCGAGTAGGATGACCTTAGTGGAAGGGATAGAGTGATATTATATATGAGTCATTGATGTATGATATGATTGAGCGATAATATGTGTGATGATGCTCGAGTATACCTTGTTGTTCAATAATGTAACTTTACTTTTATGCATCTATAACTTGAAACCCCCCTAAACAAGTTTACTTTTACTTACTTAGCTTTTCTTTGTTTGTTATTCGAATGAAACCCCCTACGGAACCTTTCTATTTCGCATTGCCATAGATGGTATGGTGTGTGTAGTTATGCATTAATTAGAAGACCTTGTGGAATATGACCCTAGGATATCATAGGACTTTTCTCACTTGCATGTAATCCTACATCAAGTCCTTCATCTGCAAGGTAACTGTTGTGACTGGGAAATTTACTATTCACTCTTATACCCTGTTTGATTCGGGTTATACCCTCTCGTCGTGTTCCTAGTAAAAATGACTAAGCAACTTATGACACGTCATGAGTTGCTAGGGTCGTGCGGTCCCTAAGACAGTTCTAGCCAAGAGACAACTTATGTGGACCTCCCATACCTTAATCCGTGAGCTTATAAGGTCTTTTGTGAGCATAACAAGTGAATCGTGTAAACAGCTAGCCTAGTCCGAGTTGAGGATCCTTTACGGGTCGAGTCATTGGTTGCACTTTTTTGGACTAGGTCAAGTGTTTAATTCTCCAAATAGTGACATGTCGCTGATGTGCTCCTAAGTGCTGCAAACGTTGCCCCAATGGTATCGACAGTCAGCGATTAACATACTCTGACATTGATTTGGTCAACCATCAACTCTAACCATCGATGATAGAAGCAGCTCCAATATAAACAATAGAATACATTAAGGCAAAAGAAGGCCTTTGATGACTAGTTTCCGTAACCATTAGACTTTCATAGGTATACGAGTTTTGATGGGCTTCAACTTCAACCCCATGCTCTCTGGGGAAAGAAGTTCTGGGGAGATGCAAAGGGGACTCAATGTGCTTCTTGGGCTTACACTAAGCTTCACTGGTTTGTAAATACCATACCCCATAAAGAAGTACTCCATTGGTATCAACATGGCATGCGGCTGCTCTTCTGTCACCATTGACCCACATGCCTGAACCTGTAAGAAACACCACAATGAATCCATATCATCACACCCAACAAAGCATATAATGTTCCACATTGACACTTGCCGAAGCCGAGGACCAAGACTACATACAAGACCTGTGTCCATACCTCAACCAACGCACTTTGATGCCTTTCGAGCTTCGATGTCATACACAGAGCCTCTCCATGAAAGGGAGAGTACTCTCCCACAAATATTAGGCAACGACAGTGTAGTTTACTTAAGCACTCACTAAGATCTGGTCTCCTACAACAAAGCCCCAGGAAGCCACAATCATCATCATGACCAGCTTTGTGATAGACAGACAGATGGAAGCTAGCTTTAAATGCCCAATAGAATTGAACTAGGAAATGGGTGGTTACTCTTACTCATTTGTTGCTTCAAGAAACTGCCAAATGTTTAAACTTTGCCTTTCGTCCAGTAACTGAAAAGAGAATGCATGGCAGGTGTAAGAAAACACTAGTTATGTTCTTTCTTGGAAAAGTTATGTGGTTACTAATTGGAAAGCATGAATCCTAGTTCGAGTTCTAGTTCATGATCATATAGAAATGCGTGGGCTGGGAAATAGTAAAGGATCAAGCAATGCATTGAACTACAAAACTAACTCTTCTACAAGCTTCAACTATATCCGACTCTGGGACTTGAGCATTCCCTCGAGCCTCCTTGCTATAGTATCTTTTGAGCAACAACTCCTTCACCACTCCACACATACCATAATAGTAAAGCAAGTTGGAGAGCACCTACAAGTCAAGATGAGCATATCAGATTCAGGGCGAATATGGTATGAGGCAAATTTAATTTTGCGACGAATTGAAAACATATCCTACCAACCAAGAGACACTCTGCTCTTCCTAATTAGAAATAATAAGAAAATAAAAGCTGAGAAATGGGTGGCATGGCACTAAGGAAAGAACCTTGTTGTACAACCATTCTGTCCATGAAGGGGCTTTGCATAGAGGAGAAATAAGTATTAGGCCAAGGACGCGTTGCTTGTATTTCATCTGTTTCCAAACGATCGAGGAAATGTACAGAACAAGTCACGAACTAATATTAGGACAACTAGAGTTACAACGTAAGGCATATTCTAATATGGAAATTGCAAGATCGATCATACAGCAAAAAGGGTTAGAATGTACGCTCCTGCTGTAACCCCCATACACATCACAGCTCCAAGCCTACAGTTAAAACAAACAAAATTAGCATAAACAGGACAATAAATGGATAGACCCATATTTTGGGCAGTTTCCAGTTAGAACTAGATGTGCCCCTTACTGGGTTTCGCATAAAACGAGTAATATGAAAGGTTACATGTGATTGTAAGAGAGAAAAATGAAGTAGATTCATCCCTAATTAAGGTTGGGATCAGTTCATGAGAAACCAAGCCAAAATTTCTCAATGGATTAAAAAATTACCCAAAATAGTTAAGAACCTCCAGTATTTGATCTGCTAAGTCATCAACAGAAAGTATAGGATCAACAACACTAATGGTAGCAGCGCCCAACTGCAATTATTCTTCAACAAATACAAGGATAAGAATGAATAGCGACGGAACTGGTGATCAAAGCAAAAAAAATAAAAAAAGATTTATATTGATAGTTACATGTTCAAGCCACGAACCTCATGGCCAGGAGGGCAGATGTGATAAATGCAAAAATTATGCAGGATCAAGGAACATGCTTCTGGACAAAAAAGTAGCCCCTGGAAACAAGAAATATCTGCTCAAACCATAACAGAACTAAGTCAGCATGAACATTAATGGTGGATCCCTTCCCTCCCCAAATTTGATCAACAAAACAGAAGTAGCGACTACTATCATCAAATTTAAACAAGGTTGAGGAGGAAAAATGAGTGTGCCGTATAAACAAAGCAAAATCAAACTTATGTACCAGAAGAGAAAGACCCAACACACACACACACACAAAAAAAAGGCAAAAGTACTTCATGGTACAAGTTTACTCACAATTTAGACCCAAATCTGGGTATGTAATTAGAGCTGGCTTATCCTGATCTCCGTACACAGAAACACATACGGAGCCACAAACTGTGTCGATGACATACTCCTGTGCACAGGTATATAACACAAATCAACATTTGGCAACCAAGAATATACCATATAGAATTTAAGTTCATGCAAATATAGTAACCAAGAAAAATGAACTTCCCAATTCCCATAAAAGGGCAACTTCCTGAAACAGTGAACTCATTCTGTGAGAGAAGTAGGTTAGGGAAAGTTTATCCTCAACTGCTGATTCCTCCTCCTAATTAAGAAGAGCCTATACATACAATTTGATCATCAAAGGGCGTAGAGGGCTCTAATACCTAAACTCAACCATTGCGTTTCCTTTTCTTTTGTTCTTCAGATTCCAATCATTTATAAGCCAAGAAATTCGCGGCCTTGAATATCTAATAACGACAAACAAATCATTGTATGAAAAGACAAAATAAATTCAACAATATCATAAATCGAGAATTTTGTCTTATCTTGCAATATACATCCTCACCATTCCAATGAAGCATTCAACATCCCATACCGATCGATTATATGTCATACATATTCATTGGGAAAATAGACCTTAAATTCATAAATCTCTCTTAATTGAAGAAGAGATGTTTAGCCTGGAGAAAGGTCTCCGTATTTCTCTTTGCACATTTTCTCACCAAACAAATTGAATTATGGTGACACGATACAAGGATGCAAAATGAAGGAATGTAATTAATGTGTTTAAGCAAATGTTACCTTCCCGCGAGGAGAAGAGGTCTCCATATCAATGGAAATCGACTTGCTTGAAGTCTCCATTTTGTTTTCTCTTTCCCCCTAATCGTTCTAACTCTGTCTCTTTCCCTTTCTCTTTCACCCTCACCCCCGCCCTCAACGGCTTTTTTTCGATTTCAGTTTTGCAGGCTTACTTGTGAGTGATTAATCTTCAATATCAAATTGTTCCAGCATATACTTATCCTCCCTTCTTTCTACCCAAATTCTTGGATCAATGATTTCTTTGGGGGTCTGAGAAAAAGAAAGAAATGAAATGAAGAGAAGAGAAAAGAAAAGAAAAGAAAAGAAGTAAAAAGCTTTAACTCAGGGTTAACTCAAAATTGAGTCAATCATGGCTCGGGAAAGAGAAATAGACAGAGAGAGAACAAACAAAGGGAAGGAGAGAAACAAAGAGGAAAGGATGTGACCAAGGAGAGAAACAACAAAAAGGAAAAAGGAAAAAGGAAAAAATCATCTCTCATTAGCTATTCCGATTTGTACTCAGAACACCTGACCTGGACGCTAGTTAATTTAACCATAGCCGCTCAAGATGATAGTTCTCTCCATTGCCCCTTGTGCCCTTGTAATTCGTTTCAATTCGTTTACCTCAATTAATTAATTTATCATTTGTTTGTTTGTTTATTTACATGTGTGCAATGTGTTTAAAATGCCAGTACCTCAAAATGCATTGTCTGAAACTTGCTTAGCACTAGCAGTATGTCCATCAACGAGTCAGTCTAGTTTAAAAAAAAAAATTGACTTTAAATCAAGATTTTATGCAATTGTATCTCATTCGTTAATGCAGTGTGCAAAATTAAATAGTTTGATTATTTTTTTTTTTTTTTTGCATTAAGGGAGGCAAAAGCCAAGAAAGAAGAAGACAGGGGGTTACAAGGAAGCCGAAGCTACAACTCGACGTTCAAAAGTCACACCCATCTCGTCATCGTGAAGGAATCGTCTCAGATCACTTGACGGGTCAATAAGCTCATGCATACCGTAGGGATAGACGAGACTGTGCTTCGAGAGCCAGTCCGCGACTCTATTCCCTTCGCGATATGTATGCTCTATATTGACCAACCAATCTCGAGCCAAACATCTCCTTATCGAGGAAAGAAGGGAGGCATGAGGGTGGAGAGGGTCAACCCGATTCTTGATCCACTGAATAACCAACTGGGAGTCCGTTTCCACCTGCAGATTGACGCAACTGTGACTCCAAGCAAGGTTTAAGCCATGAAAAAGAGCCCATAGCTCAGCCAAACCCGCGGTGGCTTCCCCAATTTGGGCCACAAACCTCGCAACCCATCTTCCCTGCTCATCCCGAATAACTCCTCCAGCACCTGCCAAGCCTGGGTTGCCCGCCGAGGCCCCATCAATGTTAAGCTTCCGCCATCCCGGAGGAGGCGCACTCCAACCAATATTGGCCACAACTCTTTCCGCCGCAGGGAGGGGATTCCGCAGATCCGCAGTGCTATCCGATTTCCACGCACTGTGCCAGAGAGAGGCTTTGTGCATGATCGCATGCGCCAGAGACAGGGCGGTGAGCGCTCCTGCCGTCCCATGGAAGCACATCTGACACCTGTTCTTCCAGATAAGCCAGATAGCAACTGCAAAAAAATCACACCACGCCATACCAGAGGGAAACAAGTCATCATTGAGAACATTCTTGGATATCCACTCCTCCAGGCAGGCAGAAAAGAAGCTCCCCTGGTCTGCCTCCGGGACTTGCTTGTTCCAAAAAAAGAAAGCAGGCGGGCAATCCCGGAGAGCGTGCAGGATGGTTTCCGGCACTCCTTCACACCTACTGCACGCCGGCGAGGGAGCACACTTCCTGAAATGCCGAAGCCCATTAGTCGCAATACGCCCCAGCGTAACTAGCCAAGTGAAAACCCGAATGCGCTCCGGAAGCTGCAGCCGCCACACTTTCCGCCAGAGCCTTTCATTCTGGTTTGATCTGTCAGCAAAGGCCATCAGGTACGCTGACTTAGCCGTAAACCTGCCACTGGGAGAGGCCGTCCAGAACAAAGTATCCGGGCAAGACGAGAGGGGATCCACCGCCGTCGCCGTGATTTTGTGAATGATCTCCGTGGGCATCCATGGTTCCAGGCGAGCAACGTCCCAATGGCCATCCGCATCCACGTAGTCTGCCACCATTTCCCCGAGTTTGACCGTCGGAATGGGTTGGAGCGCGATCGTCTTGAGGGGAACCTGCAAAACCCACAAGTCCTGCCAGAAATTAGTTTTTCTTCCATTATGAATATTCCACGCCACTCCTTTTCTTAGGAGATCAGAAGCTTTATTAAAACTTCTCCAAGCAAAGGAACTTCCCTGACTAGGCCGGAAGATGGCCATGCCTTCACGCTGTTTCCCATACTTCTCCCTCATTAGTTGAGTCCACAAGCAATCCCTCTCAGTCAGAAGTCGCCATCCTCCTTTAGCTAGGAGAGCGAGGTTGGCTTGCCTCAAGGTTCGTAGGCTTGCTCCACCCAGCCATTTCGGCTCCTGAAGCTTCTCCCACGCCACTAGATGCATCCTCCCCTGACCTTCCTCCTCTCCCCACGCAAAGTCCCTGTTCACCTTATCTATAGAATTGCACACATTCATAGGAATAAGCTCAGAATGCATAGGATAGGTGGGAATCGCCGAGAATACCGAGCGAATAACTGTCAGCCTGGCTGCCATAGACAGCCGCCTAGCTTTCCAGGGAGCCAACTTCTTCTTGATCCTAAGGACTAGGTCCTGATACCGCATCTTCGTGACTCTGTCGTGAATGGTTCGGATCCCCAGATACCGGCCAAGGTCCATCGTGAGAGGGATGCCCGCCCTGTCACTCAAACGTTGCGCTCTGTCTTGATGGACATTGGGGGAAACAAACATGGAGGATTTAGCATAGCTAACCCGCTGCCCTGAGCTCTCACAGAAGTCCTCCAGGCATCTTTTAATCACCTGCACCTGTGCACCCTCTGCCTCTGCAAAAAGCATAAGATCATCGGCAAAAAACAGATGGGTTAGAGCAGGGCCGTTCGGTGATAATTTAATTGGTTTCCAGAGTTTGTCCCGAACGGCCTGGTCAATTCTATGAGAAAGACGTTCAATGCAAAGGACAAAAAGATACGGTGAGAGAGGATCTCCCTGTCGAACTCCACGGGTAGGCGTGATAGGCGGCAACAGCAGTACATGATGCACCGAATCCAGGAGCTAGGAAGGCCAATCTCGCACAGCGTGTCGCGAATGAAATCCCACCGGAGTCTGTCATAAGCCTTCTCCAAGTCAATTTTCACGACCAGTCCACCTTTCTTCCCCTTCTTCTTTCTGAGAGAGTGCAGTACCTCCTGCACCACCAAGATATTATCCGTTGTTTGGCGCCCCGGAATAAAACTGCTCTGGCGAGGAGAAACAAGCTTCCTCATGATCGGCTTCAATCTGCTTGTCATTGCCTTAGTAATGGCTTTCAGACTGACGTTGTTTAAAGAAATGGGGCGGAGCTGGCTAACAGTTTCAGGACACCTTCGGGATAAGCACCATCGTTGATTAATTCATTACTTTTCTTTTACATTGAGGTAGTGGGTAGTTATGAGAATTTATGAACTGAACCGCGCAGGACTTGATCTGCCCCGACCCGTAAACTGCTCCTCATTCTAGACTCGTTCTATTATGATTTCATCAACATGTATATGTATTTCTCATCTCATGACCTATCTAAAATCATATTGTAATCCAAAAAAAAAGTAAAAATGTATCTTTCAACTATTCACACTCATTAATTCTTTCTATTGTATTTATTATTCATATATGAAAGTATTTTCTCTGTGTCTTTTTGTAAAAGAGTTAAATATCCACATCCTTTTTGTATATAACATATAGGAATGGAACCGTGTTATATACCATCGCAAGTATTGCCTCAGCTAACCCGCACTTAATGTGTGAATGGTATGGACATTGAGATACTCACCTCGTCTCGTCCTATTATCATCACTGTCTGTGGGTGTAAGATCAAATGCATAACCAGATCTGCTCCCTTAGTTTTGAATTGGTCTATATATAACTGAACTTCTATTTAACGCGCTAACATTTTAAAAAATTTGCCCTATATTAACCAAATAGACGATTCTACCCCATTCACCCAATCTCTAAAATGTCAGTCGTCGCCCTAAGAAATACCTCTTCCCCCGTCGTAGCCACATTCCCTGTCGCCGTCAGTCACCGTCGCTCGAGAAGCAAAGAAACGTACGCCTAGGAAGTCATCGCCCGTCGCCCTAGAAATCATCATCAAGGCGGCTGCTCCGCTGCTCATTCCACCCCCGCTCGCCCTAGATAATAAATTCTCGCTGCCATGCTTGGTCGGTCGTCGATCGGGTTCGTTTGTCTCTACAGCTGCCAAGCGATGGTGAGGACGAAGAACCATTGCAGGAATTGGTTGAGACCTTGTTGACGCTGCCAAGCCCCCCGCTCGTCGCTTGCCTTGGAGAAAAGACTCTCGTTGGCTGATGGCTGATCATTTAGTACGGTAGGCGATGCCTGATGGCTAAGCATGGTAGGCGACGACTGATGACTCGCTAAAACACAACTCCTAACAATTGCCAAGTGTAACCAATGAAAGGGACTGCAGTATAGTGGTACAAGTCATAAATATCGAATTCTCGGGTCTCTAGATGTATTATTACTCAGTTTCAGTTCATTATCTAGCAAATTAGATTAAGGTTTGATTAACTAAACTACTCTATAAGATAAACTAGGTAAAACTACTAATTACAGGTTGGTAACTAAAACAACCTGATCCTTTTTGAAAACCAAACCATAACTCAAACCACAAACCGCTTACTCCGGAGCAACCCAAAAATAGGTTTACAAATAAAAGGGGACCCATCTCGTTACCCCGATCTTGCTGACATCCTCAAGCTTGTCGCGGCTGCTCTCCTCGGGTAACCTCCTCTATATGGACACGTCATCTTCCCTCTCTACACCTGGTGAGTGAGAAGGGGCCAGTCTCGCCGTTACTTCCTAAGGTCTTTGCCCTAAGCAAAACCCTTACTAACACATTCTTAGAACATTCCTATCTTACATGAAAGTCGTTATCGCTTTTATCCTTAACGCTATAATCCTTTATAGCTTATAGAAGCTCTCTACTTCTATCCTAACTCATATAATTATTACTAGGGTTCACCGCGTTACGTATCGCCGTCGAGTGTCCATATCCTCAAGGCAATGGTACTGCATTACGTATTGTCGTCCAGTCCATGCCCGACCAACTACTGCGTTACATATCATCGTCCAGTAGTGACCCGACCATCTACCGCGTCTAGTTGTGGCCCAACCGCCTGGGGGTTCTTCTTACCATTACCCATACATTACAAACATACATCCATACATTCATAAATAGCACAACGCGTGCCTCCACAATTAAGTAGGCGGTGGGATGACTCACGCACATAATCTTGCATACTAGAAAAATTAACTAGATAATAACT